AACAAAAAAAAAAAAAAAAAAAAATAAACACATCTTAGTGAAACCAATACCTTCTCAGCTTCGCATCGAAGCTAAAACGTATATTGTATTTCAATGTTTCAAAAAAAAAAAGGGTATATAGTAGTATACACACACCCACACAGTCAATGCTGTAAACAACAAACGACCTTGTAGTAATGCTGTGAGATCTTGCGCCTACGCGTTGTGCACGTGTTCGGTGGTTTTTTTTATCAAACACAACGACTGTCGGAATGTCTGGAATGTGTAGTGGAACTAAATAGAAGGGTATTGATCATTTACGAACCATCGACTTAAACTTAAACGACAGCGTCGGGGTGAATTGGCACGCCAGTATATAGGGTTGTGACATATCAAACGCGCGGACTTGACGCGTACTATACACACGTTTAACCGTTTGCGTGTAGGTACTCTGGAAAATTAACTTTTTTTTTTGGTCGACTTGTCAGCTGTGGGATCCGACGATGGAGTTAAGGCGCGTTCGATCGGTCGGTGAAGCGTTGACGTACTATATAGGGTCGTACATGACAGCATCATAGCGCAAGACACAATCACGACGTGATAGGGCACACAGGGTCCACATGGGGTTCATGTTAGCACAGAGTTTAGGCGTGACGTCATCCAGGGCCAACCATAGGGCTTACCTTAGGTCAGGTATGACGTTATAGGGCATACCTTATATCAAAGTTTAGGTGTGAAGTCAGCCAGGGCCCACCATAGGGCTTACCTTAGGTCAGGGTTCAAGTGTGACGTCAGCTAGGGGCATAACGTCATAAGCTGCACTTGGATGCAGTCCCCAACAGACGCCGGGGCCAGGGGGGTTAAGGTAGGTCAGGTGTGACGTCACCATGACGGACTGCACCTGTGCACCCATTGTTACCCAAGAACAATAAATAAATTAATTAGTCGGCACCTTTGAGAGCCCGTACCGCACACCTGTACACCCATTGTTTTCACCGACAACAATAGATGACGTAAGTAGTCGTCACCTTTGAGAGCCCGTAATGCACCTATTGTTTTCCGAGAACAATAGCCCCATTGTTCTAAGAACAATAGATGACGTCATTTGTCGGCACCTTTGAGAGCCCGTACCCACCATACCTATACTACTATGTATTATAAAAGAAATATAAAATCTTATATACACCAATGTGGATAGGGGGGACTCTTAATACTAATGCCACTAAGACGATGATATAAACAATTAATAAGTTATACAAATGAGTCTTAGAAAGATAAATGAACAAGCATTATACTTACCGGCTAGTTGAAACGGCGGATGATAATGTTGAATATTGAAAGGATCAATTGAAATTAAATGCAAGTGGTTGACCAACGTGTACAATATGTTGTGAACTGTATTTTGATGTATCTCAGAAAATATATAGACCCAACGGCGATAAACTGAGCGCACAGAGTACGACAATCGCAAAGGTGATATTTTCTTTTTACAGTAAAACGAATACAAAACTACTGGCTCGCCAACGCCATAGAGCTTATAACAGAAGAAGCGTTAAGATGGCTGCGACAATGGTAACATATAAAGAAAACCGACAACAACTCGATGTAACACAACGATAACATGAATAATCAAACACATATTTTCTTGACAGCAATTCAATCGATGTGTATCCAACAATATTAATATAATAGATATCATCTATACTGTGCCGCGACCCCAATGTACAACCGTTTTGTTTCATAATAAATTAGCAGATAATTTGCAACTGATATCACCTTTATATAATTAAATTAAAAAAATGATCATAGCAAAATCTGCCTTAAAATAGAACACATTTCTACCCTTAAAACGACGATTATTTTAAATTGGTTAAACATAAAAAGTTATTTACACCATAATTCTTTTTAAAATTGAATTATCTATTGACATGTGTAAGAAAAATTAGGTATTGCCTATTAAATTTCTTAAGTTACGGTAGAATTTTACCCTTTTACATTATGGTGAAATTTAATTTTAATCATAAAAGATGGATTTAAATAATCAATTGGCCTTTAAAAAAAATTATTAAAAAAATCAATAGCGGCTCTAAAAAATCGGTCTTTCCAAATTTATTGAACATACTGTATACAAGTAAAATGGTAGTACAATACATTTATTATATGGGTTTTTATACAAAAAAAAATCTGCAGCATTTGAGTTTTCATCATTAAAAGTACCGTTTAAAATATATATAACACATTGCTTTACACTTATTAACTGGTTTATAAGAAATGTTTATAGCAACTTTGTACATTTTTAACATTGATATTAATTTTGCTTCACTTTAAAATCAACAACAGTTTTTTTGACTAATAGATCGAATAAAAAATTATATATTGTGTTTTATAAATATATATAAGTTTTTATATAAATATATAGAAGTTTTAATTTCAAAAAGTAATTGTACTTTAATTAAATGGCTAATTTTTTAAAGCGCTATTATAGAAATTTAAAGAAGAGGCTTTGTTTCAAGAAAAAGAAAATAGGTAAATAGGGAATTGATTATATTTAATGACTGATTTGTTTACTAAAAATGATAGAAAACTTAAACATATTTAACTTCTTTTTATATTCATTTAGTCACTTCTGTAGATTGTGATGCACAGACAATTACACATAACGTAGTTCCGCAGACACAGGAAAATAACGATAATGCTGCTCAGAGCTTAATATTGACTTTTGACATATATACTCAGACTCAAATTGAAGCTGAGTTAGTTGTATTTGGTACACAAACAGACAAATCAACATTAAAGGTCGAACATACGGAGAGCACTACTCAAACCTCTGAAATATCTTACGACGAGCAGTGTACACAGACCAAAATTAAGGCTAAGTTTATAGAAACACAAACTGATGAATCTTCATTCAATTCGCCCTTAAATGTTGAATATTTAGAAATCGCCTCTCAGTGCTCTATAACACCACTTACTGTGGAATCACATTTTGAGTCACCTTCAGTTTTAACAGGTATTTCTAAGAAAATTCGTTTTTTTTTTAAATTAAAAATTTTACTAACAAATTATTTAGACTTTCATAACTCATGTGTAAGTTTACTTATATGAATCATTTGAAACTAATTTTATTAAAATTATTTTACATTATGTTATGATTCAAATATAGATAAACTAGATGAATATAAATTAACTCAATTATATAAACCAGCTACAAGTGTTGAGAGATATACCCAGACAAATTCCGTATCTGAATTAAATGAGTTAACTAAAAGTGTCCTGTATACAGAGACGGGTACTCAGTGTTTGTTATTGTCACCATCCACGGATTCAATTTTGCAGAATATAGATTTACTATACTTTGCATTTGGATTTACATAAAAAAATGAAGGAAGATAACTCTTTTAGAGTGCTGCCTTCTTCAATAGATTTTTTTTTGAAAGAAATTATTGTTAAGAGTTAAGTAGATGAAAAATTCTCAAATATTT